TCTCCCCTGGATGTTATGGTGAAAGGGTACAGAAGAACTACTCCCCCCCTACCTCAGAAGTTTTAAAATAAACAAAACTGTGGCCAATTAAGTTAGGTATTTGGCGCACTTTTGCTAGTAGAATGTGATAAGCATGCTGATGAAGGCACACCCCCCCAAAAAATGATGTTTGTTGTGTTTCAAACATAAATCCCTTTACACCGTCTTTGAAGATCTGCTCTGGTCAGTAGTATGTTTTTTCTTAATTGATTCATTTTACTGTGTTTAGTTTCTTCTTGGTAATGTTCACAGTGCTCTTTTTTGTCTTTGAATTTTGGTTTATTCGTCAATGTTATTTTAGGTTTTCCCATGTTTTGATTGTTGAGCCTTTTCAGTTCCTCAGCTTGGCTTTTTTAATAACCTCCCTTCATCAGCTGCCCTGCATTCTTAAATCACCCACGTTGACTCTGATTTTAGGTTTTTCTCTGTCTTTTTTCTCCCCTGCTTTAGTATACTTTTTCAATCTTTCTCCATTCCATCCTTCGTTTACTCATGTTGAACCTTTTGGTGACTTTCTGCCTAAGCTTTATGTCCTTTTCTGTCAAATATGTAGTGAGCAATGCTGCATTTTTATTATCAAATCCTTAAACACCATCTTGATTTCATGTTTGTCTGCACTTTTGTCCTGCACTAAACCTTAAAACAACTATTATGAGGTTTTGTGAACAATTACCATTGAGATCTTTGCTTTTAATTTCTAAATATTTGTATCACATTTAAGTTTGTAAACCATCTCTTCATTTCATTGAAGAGATGGTTTAAAAACTAAGCTAATTTCATTACTTAACTAGGGAACTTTTAAAATAAGACACACATTGGATGCTAGCTAAATATATAAATATATATATCTATATACAGTATATATATATATATATATATATATATATATATATATATATATATATATATATATATATATATATATATATATATATATATATATATATATATATAAAATAAGAGAAACATTAATGCTGATGTAAATTGTGATTTTTTTTTCTTCCAAAGTTTTCCATGAAAAAAGGACATCAGTTTGATGTCTTGATTCTCGAGTTTTCTCATTATTTCTTAAAGCCTTTCTGCTCCTGCTTTTCCTTGTTCCACTCCCTCTTCCTTCAGTCTCAGTAGCTGTCATATTTCTCACTGCACTCAGCGTTTTCATTTCAGCATACCTGAATAGATACCTGAATAGACTCGTCTAGGGGCGATGGCAGAGAGGGAAGACTTATTACATATTTCTAGCGTTTCAATTTCCACAAGCAGAGTGTGGCATGAATTATTACTCTGATATATTTAACGCTGTTTTTTTATTTTATTTTTTTATTTCTTTTTATTTTCTCTACAGCTCTATGATTTCTGTTTTGCATTCAGAATTGGAGCCATTTTGCAGGAAGAGCTTCCATTGCAACAAGCAATAAAATGAGTGCAAAGGATGGTTTCTTTTCATTTGGAGGTACAACAGGACTCATCATTCTTCTTAATTTCCTTCAACCAAATTACCTTGGCTGACTCTGCTATCCTGTTTCCCCTTCTAAAAACACTTAATCAATTTTTTATCAACACATTTCTGTTCTGGGTCTAATTTATATGTGAAAGCCTTGTTATAGCACTCTGTCATTGCAGTAAATATGCATGTTTTAATCCTCCATAAATAAGGCAGTAGCACATGTAAGAATATGAATGGTGGTATATCTTTCCCAATATCTGGGCTTGGATCAATATCCCTACTTTCAAAGATGATAGGACATCTTTAGTGAGCATGCAACTGAGCTGCCAAGACTGTGAGAAACCTTCCATCTGTGGACCTGCTCATCCGTGGATTCTGGCATTAATCTCGATTACAGCCAAAACCTTCTCCGTGAACCTTGAACTCTCTGGTTTGCCCAACCTGAACATGACAAGATCTGCCAGCAAAGTTTCCAAGGAGCTGGCACTTGCTTGTATTTGTGAAGTGAGATATGTTATGCTGTTAACAAAGTTTTTTGACTTTGTATTCAGTAAGCGTGACTTTCAGAAATCCTTGAATAGCAGCAAATGATGAGATGTCCCTGGTGAAGACGCTTGGAAACTTGATGATGAAAATGGTGATGCTGTGTATTTTTTTTGGTATCTACAGTGTTGATGCAAGATTATCCTGTTGTTGAACAATTAATGGAAATGTTATACCAGAGCAACAATTAATTTATAAGCAACCTCGGCATAGGCAGTCGTAGCTGGACCTTGTCTGTCCTTCTTGTTAGCCTAACTGCTGTTTTACCAACATGTACTTTTTATATGGACATAAGTTATCGTAATAAAATGGCAGCGCAGACTATGCATCATATTGATTTGGTTGCACATGTACACTTATTTTGCCTCCTTCAGAAAGGCTGATTCTGAGAAGCCTTCATTTGCATGCAGATCAGATTTTCAATTGGCACGAATCACTCCTTAGTCAGATTAGAATTTCATTTTTTTCTAATTAAACTAATTCAAAATAATCCAATTGACATGTTTATTTAACATACTTATGCGTGTAACATATTTTCAGTCCAATTATCCATATATTCCAATTATTTATGTAAAACTGCTATTTTAAATTAGTAATTTTTGCATTACAAAGGTGTATAAATTCATGTTTTACAATACCTTTAGTAAAACTATTAGAATCAAATGGATAATTATTTTCCCACTGCTGGGCTTAAACTTACTGGTTAAATCTGGCTGTGGATACTAACTAGTTAGCTGCTATAAAGCTAATTCATTTAAAATTGGACCCAGTCTATAGAGGATTGCACTTAAATGAGTAATTTTAGCATTGGTAGGTTTTAAAAAGTTTTATTTCTAGCATTGTTTTTGTTTTTGTCATTGTTTTGTTTTTGTCCAAGTTTTATCTCTGAGTTTTCATTGGTCTTATTTTTATTCTTGTGTTCGTGGTTTTTTTTTATTTGAGTTCTTAGATATTTCCTGTTTGCCCTCTTGTGTCAGTCTCCTTTTCTCTAGCTCCCTTCTTGCCTTTGTTCACACCTGCTCCCAATCTGCTAATTAGCCTGGTCTTTGTTTCTCTCTCCCATATAATCTCGTCCTGTTCAGTCACTCTTGGCTGGTTTGTCGTCATTACTTTGTCCCCTTCTTGTTGTGAGTATTCTTTGTTTTCAGCATTTTTGGATTTTTGTGGATTTATGTTTTGGATTTTTGCTTTTGTTGAACTTTTCGTTAATTAAAACTTTGAAATAACGACCTTAACCTTTCGTGTCTGCATTTGGGTCCTGTCAAACCACCCCCACTGTGACAGTTTTGGTGTCTAATACAGTTCTCTGGTAGTTGTGTTTACTTTCCACTAAGATAGCTCCTAAACCAAAATGTATTAGTCGGTTTGAAGCAAGTGAATGACTAAATTTCCTATACACATTTTGAAATTTATCTATCATTTATGAATTAGCTTTTTAGAAACCCATGTCAAACAATAGACTTAACCTTGCATGCACATTTTCTGTGTTACACTTTTAAAATAATGCTCATCAAATAAAATAAAGCTTGACAAAATGGAAATATAGATTTCTCTTGGAAAAAGAAAAAGGCTAGAAATGGCAAAACTGATCAGTTATAACCTAACCAAGCAATGCTGTACTAAAACCACAGCCAGATGGAAAGAAATTATCACATTTCTGGTGTTGGGTTGATAATATCAAAAAGGATTTAAAGTGTAAAACAGAAAATATAACTTTGTATAGTGAATACTGAACAAGCCTCAAGAGAAATGAAAGCTTAATTCGTTTATTCATGATGCATTATTCTTAATACGGATACCTTGTATTATGTTACCAATCATAAAAGTAATATTAGCAAGAGTTCAACTATGGTAACAATTTTCTTTTGTCGCAAAAATAATGCCTCAGATATGTGCACTGTTATTTCATAAACGTTAATACATTTATATTCTCTCTGATAGAATAAATACAAATGTATTACTTAAAGATATTTTTAAAACAATATTTGTCTACAAGACAGTTTTTTGCTGGTTCTGATAAAAAAAAAAATCCCAAACAGAACATGAAAATTTGATCTCTTATCAACAGGGGACAACGTAAAGCAGTGGGGTTGGGTCTGAGCGTTTCCCCTCAACGGCAGAGACAGTGGCCTTTCTTGCACAGCGGCGTGTTGGAGAAAGGGTCAGGGGATTTCGTTGATATTCTGCAGCCGTTTGCTTTTTTTGGCAGCGTGCACTCGAGCTTGAAATGATGTTGCTTCCTCTGGCCAGGAGGCTACGACTCCCATGCCACACAGCATATGCAGGACGCCATAAATCCTGCAGTGTAAATAAAGAGCTGTTTCGCTCCAGCACGTCTCACTCCTTCTGTGTCGACTTTTTGTTTTGTAAATGCTATGTCGTTCCACTTTCTCTCTTCTTCCTCATTTTTCTTCCTTGTGTTTAGTCTTCAACACCACTTCCTCTAGCTGCATTTTTTTTCTGTCACTTTTTTCATTTTTCTGTCTGATGCGATTCAAATAAAACCATGGTTTCTCCTTAATCCTACGTATGTTGCAGTTTTAAAGAGGAATGTATCCAGCTGTGATTTATGTATGTGCAATTTTGAGACTAGTTGTTTTACTTGGTTTGACAGCAGGACAGGGTAGATGTCTTTGCTTTGACACATGTTCTGCAAACCGCTTGCTACCTGAACAGACATATGAACAGAAATAAGCATTCCCTGATTACAGGCTTACATCTCTCCTGCTGAGCTTGGGTGGCGTTCAGGCGCAGCAGGTACCTCACTACTGTTCAGGAATTATTTAAAACCAAACAATACTCCGTAGTTTGAAAATAAACAACATACAAAATAAATATACATTGATATAGCTTGTGCTTCTCTGGTAAGCTTCATAAAAATCAAAGATATCCCTTTAAGAATATATTAGAACCCTGATTCTAAGACTTAAATAATTTGATTTGAAAACAAATCTTTGTCTTGTTCTTACAGAGGCTGGTATCTTTGAAGATATCATCCGGCACTGGCAATGACATCAAGGAGGGGATGATTTTGGTTTGGATCCACTAAGCACCCAAAGGCAAGTTGGTTGTTTTAATTCATAATAATTAAAGTATTTTTCTACCAGTAGCACTGTAAATGGCTTGTTTCGGTATCCTTTAACATCTAGTCTCTCTGACATTATTAAAGATTTCTTTCATCCCACAAAATCACAACTGCAGGAACAAATAATATAAGATATTTATTTATTCCTTTAATTATTGTTAAATGACCATTCCCTACTGTTTATATTATAGCTGTTTTCTTAAAATGCATTTACTTAAGAGATTTTACTATTAGTTGTTCTTGCTTAATATGCTAAAATGTTGTGTGAGATGACTGAAGGAAGGTGTGAGTACACACAACCCCAGCAGTGTCTGTCTCTTCTGATGCCAAAGCAGCACCCTGCAGCTCAGGTGTTACTTCTGGTTTTATCTCCAGGATCTGCCACAAATACACAGTTACAAAGAATTGCATTACCCATTGTTTGTAGCAGCTTATCCTTGCTGGGTCATGAAGGGGGAGCTGGTGTCCATCTCCAGCAGTCACTGGAGGAGAGGCAGGGTAGACATTAGACAGATTACCAGCCCATCTGAGGGTAACAGACACACAAATAGATTAAACACACTTGAGGACTGTACCATAAAGCAGGATTGCTGGGTTAGTGAGACAACTTAAGCCTCAACTCCGACTTTCCAGGTACCACAAAGCTGGATTCATTCTTAGCGAGGCTAGTCATCATGGCAACAAACCCTCAACTGCAACACATGTTCCAGAGCAAGCTAGCTTCCAGGATTAATTTGAATCCTAAAAAAACACTCCACCCAGCAGCCAATCAGCTGTTTGTGGAAAAAAAATTAAGTTCCCTTTGAGGGAAAACCTGATTTAATTCAGAGGAAAAAATGAACTTAAAACATCACAATAAAAGAACTTAACAATTGAATGTCAGAGATATACACTAGTTAAGTTGCACCTAGTCAGTCATCTCTACTGTAGCTCTGCCAAGATTGTCATGAACGCTCGGATTTTGTTGTGCATTTTGTAGCTGGATGAAATATCCTGACAGACTGATATAGTGTAGGTTTAATTAACTTCCAGAACTCTGAGGATTTCATAACTTTTTCAACGAGCTCACTGTAAAGTCTTTCTACTAAAGGTAAAGAGATGTAAATTACAATAACAGAAATGGTTAAAAATGTCTGAGCTTTGAGTTTAACATTTGCAAAATAAAAAAAAAAGTACTGCTGGAATGGTGTTTTTTTTTTTAGCACAGACAATTCATTCAGTGAAATTATTGAATCAACATTTGGCCAGGGATCATATTAACTCACCCGTAATTTATATTAGATTTGTAGACCATGAACAGCAGAGTTAAAATCATGTTTTATGATATTACTGTGACGACCATGGTAATAACATCTTGCATACTGACTACAATGAAAACAAATGAGATCTTTCTCTCCCAGGTGGTCCACAAAGGAGCTCAGCAGTCAGGTCACCTTTTTGTCACTCATTTAAAAAAACTGCTCCACCACCATGTGTCCTGACAGTAGTAGTGTTCTTTAATTATCTCCAGGCAAAAAAAAAAAAACGATATAGATTTGACGTTTTGTGCTATTATGACATTAAATCGCAGTGTTTTCCTCTGGGACTTTGTTACTACGAACAGCTCCTGCATAAAAAAGTCCAAATGATCAAGATTTCTTACAATCTTTAGAACCATCTTTACAAATTTAGACTTGATCTAGATCTATACAGCTTTGCATGAAGCATCACTTAATGTTACTTTAAAATATCCCTTTATTTTTCCCTTTCTAATGTATGTTATCCATTTTAACAATTGCTAAATTTACCAAACGAAACAAAACCCATGAATGTACAGTTTCTGGAAATGAACCTAAGCCCAATAATATAGTTCAACTGAAATAAAGTTTGACATTGCAATGAATTGATTCAAAATGGCTGCTTCCAAAAGAACATGTGTTTCTTCACAAATCCCATTACCCCATGCACAAACAACAATAATTAAATATGTTATATTTCTATTATGCAGGGGGGTACAGGAGATCTGTTATATTACACAAAGGGGCTGCAGTAAAAGGGCGATTTTACTCATCAGTGACTGGTAACCTTAATTGTCGACTTTTCATTATTTGTCACACGCATTACTGTGCTTTAAAGCCAGTTCTCCGCAGAGAGCTGCTAATGCACCATATGAAATCCGACCCAAAGCCTCCAGAGCAGTCTTGACTCTTGACTTTTACCCACTAATGCAACCATGTTATATTGTTCCTGTAATTAACATAATATCAACAAACCAAAACATAATTAAAAAAAGGTTCATGTTGGAACAACACTGCTTTTTTTGTCTAAATTATTCTTAAAACAAAGAAGGATTTTGTAAAAGGTTTTTAATTTTTCTTTTTTGGGAATTTATTAGAAGATGCATATATGAGATTGTACATTGCGACTGTTATTCACCAACAAAAACTGAATTTGTAAAATATTTCTCAAAAATTGTGTAAAGACTCAATACTCTCTCCACATAAAGACTTCTGCAGCCATATAAGTGAAAACAAGTGTCTTTAAAGTATGTAAGCCTGGGCCATCGGTGGTGATTGATATTGCCATCCTCAAACAGCACAGTCATACGTGGAAAATGTATTTGAGTTAAACGCAGCGATCCTCCAGTAAACGGGATGCGGGTGACACAAAGGGATGTTAATCCAGCATTGTTTTGACGGGGAAACATTGGAGTCGGTTTACTCTTTGCTCTGACTTGCAGGGTTTATTGCTGAGACTGACATTTTTTTTTTGCAGTGCTTTAGACATTGTTTTGGGATATAAACACAGACTTAGACTAACTTCATTGTCATTTTGTTTACATAGTCTATACAGAACCAAATTTCGATGCATGCAGCTTTTCAACAGTGAATGAGCAGCTTACAACAGTTAAATGAACATTTTTATTTATAAAGTGTAGCAGTTATCAGAAGAATAGGGTACAAATGCAGTGGAAACTTTGAGTCTAGGGATGATAACATCCAGAGTTGCTGCAAACCACCGCCTAGTATATACTCTGTGATGGAAGACAGAATCAAACTGAGCGGAACCCCATGAGATGATGCACATGTCCTACATGTTTGAACATCATTTTTAGACTTCCTCTACCCCTGCTACCAGGTGTTTGCACCGGAATGGATACATTGATGCACTACCAATCAAGCACTAAACTAGTTTCCCCCTTAATGTTATTGTGGTTACAAGAGGCTATGGCAGGCAATTTGGATAGTTTGAATATGTATTATTATTATTATTTGTATTTCACTTCATTAAAAGGAAAACAGGACAGGGAGGACTGATTTAAAAACAATCTCCTCTTTGAGCCAAGCTACAAGAGAAGCAGTGAAGAGCGAAATAGAGGATGAGCAGTTACCGTACTATTAGTTATTGTAGTTACCGCAACTGTATGTGTTTTAAAAGTCATATATAGAAACAGGACTACACTGACAAATGGTCCAAGCTCCAACATCTTTAAACAAAGGTGTTGAAGGCAGCAGCATAGCTGATATTTCTCACACAGCCAATTCAAAGCTCCAATGATGAGAAAAAGCAGAGGGTATGAAGTTGGAGGTTGAACTAATAAATGCTGCAGAATGGGGAATGGAGATAGAATGATGAAAAGTAGTCCCTATGTCCTCCAGTAGTCTAAGCCTATATCAGCTTAACTAGGAGAGCGAGAGACGCTCAAGACATCCTGAGCCACTCTAACTGCAAGCATAATCCAAAAGAAAAGTTTTAAGCCTAGCCATAAAAGTAGATGAGGAGTCTGCCTCACTGACTAAAACTGGTAGTTGGTTCCACAGGAGAAGAGCCTGATAACTAAACTAACTCCTTCACACAGGTGTGTTCCATTACAGAAACTAGACAACACATTTAAAAGCACTACATAGGTTTGATATTACCATACTATTAGGTAAATGCAGAAACCTTAATAGATTTGAAATATTCTGTTTTTTAAAATGTATGTAAATCTCTTTATTGTCCCACAATGGGGAAATTCACTCTTTGCATTTGACCCATCCCCTTGAGGAGCAGTGGGCTGCCATTGTGTGGCGCCCGGGATCAGTTTTGGGTGTAAGGGTTTTGCTAGAGTGAAGGCTGTTGGGATTGAACCGGTTGTATCCAACTAGATCAACTACCTGTGTTTCTGGACAAAAAATACAACTGTATTTATGTAAATGGTATCCAGCCCGCACTTTGGACCCCTTGAATAGATATGTACATTGAATGTATTGAAGTACGTATGAACTTCATGATTTTCACTGACAGATTTTATGTGATAAACTGATGGCTCCTGGTGGTATTTTAAGTTTTTCAAGGTGTTTGCTGTTCGCTTATAAACCATTATAAACCCACTTAACTGTAATCTCTGTCTTGGGAACCTTCATGTTTAGACAAAGAGGATGCGCTGTTTCTAGATGAGCTTAATCTGTCGGTTTCATCTGGCTCAACATGAGAGCTGAAGTTTTATTTTGAGTGTATAAAAATTGTGAAAAAGTATTATAAAAAATACAGAAAAGCATGTCTTTCTTGAGAGGGTTGAAAGTTTTTATATATACATAAAAATGAACATAATGTGACAAACATACAATTGTCTTACGGAAAAAATTGGACATTGATATATTTCTTTTTGAATAGTTATTTTTTGAAACTTTGAGGTTAAGAGCGATGTGTCTTCTCCCTGTTAGCTCACAAATTTTCACTCCTGATACAGAAGCAATTACCAACACACAGAGCGTGACAATATAAAACCCAAATCATGATTTGTACTAAATTGAATGTGACTAGACTAAATAAATTGCATCACTTAGCACCTATTCCCTCTTTTTTGATAAATGCAAGTTACTGGTCGTTTGACGGCTCTGCAGTTTCCTCAGCCAAGTTATTATTAAGAATCTTCACATTCCATTTTAAGCTGCTATCTTTTGTTCCTTTGGATTTATATAGCGTTTGAATTAAAAGGTTTTATGGTTTCAG